CTGTGGGGTAAAGCAGCAGAGCTTTTATTATGCCACAGTCGAGGCGCTTCCGCTGCTTCCGGTCGTGCATCTGTGGGGTAAAGCAGCAGAGCTTTTATTATGCCACAGTCGAGGCGCTTCCGCTGCTTCCGGTCGTGCATCTGTGGGGTAAAGCAGCAGAGCTTTTATTATGCCACAGTCGAGGCGCTTCCGCTGCTTCCGGTCGTGCATCTGTGGGGTAAAGCAGCAGAGCTTTTATTATGCCACAGTCGAGGCGCTTCCGCTGCTTCCGGTCGTGCATCTGTGGGGTAAAGCAGCAGAGCTTTTATTATGCCACAGTCGAGGCGCTTCCGCTGCTTCCGGTCGTGCATCTGTGGGGTAAAGCAGCAGAGCTTTTATTATGCCACAGTCGAGGCGCTTCCGCTGCTTCCGGTCGTGCATCTGTGGGGTAAAGCAGCAGAGCTTTTATTATGCCACAGTCGAGGCGCTTCCGCTGCTTCCGGTCGTGCATCTGTGGGGTAAAGCAGCAGAGCTTTTATTATGCCACAGTCGAGGCGCTTCCGCTGCTTCCGGTCGTGCATCTGTGGGGTAAAGCAGCAGAGCTTTTATTATGCCACAGTCGAGGCGCTTCCGCTGCTTCCGGTCGTGCATCTGTGGGGTAAAGCAGCAGAGCTTTTATTATGCCACAGTCGAGGCGCTTCCGCTGCTTCCGGTCGTGCATCTGTGGGGTAAAGCAGCAGAGCTTTTATTATGCCACAGTCGAGGCGCTTCCGCTGCTTCCGGTCGTGCATCTGTGGGGTAAAGCAGCAGAGCTTTTATTATGCCACAGTCGAGGCGCTTCCGCTGCTTCCGGTCGTGCATCTGTGGGGTAAAGCAGCAGAGCTTTTATTATGCCACAGTCGAGGCGCTTCCGCTGCTTCCGGTCGTGCATATGTGGGATAAAGCAGCGCTGTTTTATCATACTAGATACATTTAGTTCTGTTATAATGCTACTCTGTGCGGTCGTCACCGGTCTAATAAAACACACAACATATTAAAGCGTCTTTGATGTTTCCATGTTTTCTACAAAACCGGAAATCGAGGGGATATGACGTCATTGGCAGGCGACACAATGACACTATGAACACGCTCCGTGGCACTAGTTAAAATTGCTTATTTCTCTGGATTTAAACATTCTTCGAAACATTTGGGATAATGTAAGTACACAAGTCAGCAAAATATATAACACTGTTCTAGTGGTTTTTGGCTCTTTTAATAAAAAAATCTTACACATTGTGCCTTTAACTTTCAATTAATAATAACAAACTGATTACGTAGAGGATGGACATACTGAAGAGCTCAAAAAATTATTTAAAACAAATTTTTAAATGTTTCTAAATCTGAAATTTCAATTTAGTGAGGTCTCTCCAGTCTCGTATGTTTCTCACATGTGCCTCCTCCAGAGTTTCAAAAATATATTTTTGTGTTGTTACACACAGCATAAAGAAAGCGTGTCCTCAGTCACATCTGAAGTGTTTTCGTTCACAAATACAGAGGAGCTCCTAACAGCACACTGCTGCAGGCCTCATTAAAAGTGGTTTTAATTAGTTTCAGCTCTGATTCGAAGCCCTCAGCGCTTCTGATCTGGCATTTGCTGTGGTTTTCTGCTAAAAAACGCTCAAGTCAAAACTACCTGTTAGTCCGTGTTCAATATTCATCCGCCTGGAGTCTCTCAGAACAAACACTGTTCACACTGCAATCACAAACGTCCCCATTTCATGCCATTCTTTGATACACAATTAATGACCGTTTGAAATAATGGCAGGCCACCAAAGTCTTTCATGAATCAGAAAGCAGAATCAGCATTTCAAAGGTCTCAGACGGGCGCCGTCCACCGCTGCGGCCGCTGCCTTCACTAATTCATATCAGTTATACTCTGGAGGTAAGAACAAGCTCCTTCGGCCTCATTATAGACAGCTTTTATCACGGGTCCACAGACATGTTTTAAACATGCTCGCTCTCGTCTGCTGTCACACTCTTTCCTCTCTGGACGGGGTTTGATGACCCCAAAGCACACGCTGAGATACTGAAAGTTTGCATCCACGACAGACGAGTCTGAAAAGCGCATGATTACGGCAAGCATTCAGGATTATGGAATATAATCAGAGTTCCGTGTGAATAGAGATCTCTGTAATATCTCAGTTGTTTCTCTTATACTGCAATGAGATTAATAGAGAACATTTATTTAAAGACCCTATTATAATATATTATAATCGGATAAATAAAATAAAATGTATAATTTAAAAAACAAAATAAAATATAAAATAAAATAAAAAAGATATAAAGATATAAATAATATATAGAATTAAATTAAATTAAATTAAATTATATATATATATATACAATTAAATAAAGATATTTTAAAAATGTATATATGTTTGTTATAAAATATAACAATCATGAAAAATAAAAAAAATAATAAATACATAATTTTAGCCAATTTTAGCTGTTTTTTATATTTTATATACATTTTAAATGAACATTGAAATGAAAATGAAAATTTATAATATACATATATAACATTTTTTCAGTAATTTTATACATTTTAAATGAATATAGAAATGAAAATTTATTTTATTTCAATACTCAATATTTCATTTTCAATTTGTAATAAATATGATTAACATAGAAAATATATAGTGTTTTAAAGTAATTTTATACAGTATTTGTTTTTGTCATTTTTATTAGCTTTTTTTTTTAAATATTACTATATACTGTATCATTAATTAATTTTGATCTCAGTTTTAGTAATTGTATTCCTTCAACTTAAACTTATTAATTTTACCTAGTTGTCAAGGCAACATTTAATTTTTTTTTATTTAGTTTTTCTAAATGAACTTTTTTAAGCTAAAATGTAATTTTTCAACAGCCAAATGTAGTTAATGAGGTCTCTTATTTTTTTTTCTAATTGTTGAAGTTATAGTGATATTTTATTTGATTTCAGCTTTATTTTAATTACTTTTCTAAATGATTACTATTTTTAATAGTTTAAGTTTTAGTTAGCAATAACAACACTGATTAATATCGAAGGGCTCATCCTTTTTTTAAAAACTATTAATATTTCAAAATAATTGTACATTTTGTCTGTCTACTAAAATTGAATCTTACAATAGCCAAACGTAGAATTAAGGTAGAATCTTTTATATTGTTTATAGCTAGATCAAATGCATCACGCCTCGTGAGCAATGAAAGAGAAATCTCCGTCTGATACCATCAATGCTGCTGCTTAGTTCCATCAAACAAAGTTAGGATCTCAAATTCACTTTCACGTCAGTCTCAGCCGTAATTTCCCCCGCAGTTCAAAACGAATCATATGAATCATGTACGAGTGAAAATCACACTCTATAAATTATACCGTTCGACTGTCTTGTTGCCACTGTGTGGCCTATTTCTCCTGAAAATTTATTTTATTTCAATATTCAATATTTCATTTTCAATTTGTAATAAATATGATTAAAATAGAAAATATATAGTGTTTTAAAGTAATTTTATACAGTATTTGTTTTTGTCATTTTTATTAGCTTTTTTTTTTTTAAATATTACTATATACTGTATCATTAATTAATTTTGATCTCAGTTTTAGTAATTGTATTCCTTCAACTTAAACTTATTAATTTTACCTAGTTGTCAAGGCAACATTTAATTTTTTTTTATTTAGTTTTTCTAAATGAACTTTTTTAAGCTAAAATGTAATTTTTCAACAGCCAAATGTAGTTAATGAGGTCTCTTATTTTTTTTTCTAATTGTTGAAGTTATAGTGATATTTTATTTGATTTCAGCTTTATTTTAATTACTTTTCTAAATGATTACTATTTTTAATAGTTTAAGTTTTAGTTAGCAATAACAACACTGATTAATATCGAAGGGCTCATCCTTTTTTTAAAAACTATTAATATTTCAAAATAATTGTACATTTTGTCTGTCTACTAAAATTGAATCTTACAATAGCCAAACGTAGAATTAAGGTAGAATCTTTTATATTGTTTATAGCTAGATCAAATGCATCACGCCTCGTGAGCAATGAAAGAGAAATCTCCATCTGATACCATCAATGCTGCTGCTTAGTTCCATCAAACAAAGTTAGGATCTCAAATTCACTTTCACGTCAGTCTCAGCCGTAATTTCCCCCGCAGTTCAAAACGAATCATATGAATCATGTACGAGTGAAAATCACACTCTATAAATTATGCCGTTCGACTGTCTTGTTGCCACTGTGTGGCCTATTTCTCCTCTCCTTTCTTCAACAAATCATGGATTTTTCTTTCCTTTACAATGGCAGGCCACCAAATTCCTTCATCAATCTCTAAAAAAAGCCCAAAATCCATTTCAAGGCTGGACCTCGGCGCGTGTCGTCCGCCGCTGCTATTTTAACTAGTTCATAACACTTACACTCTGGAGGAAGGAACAAGGTCTTTGGGCCTCATTATTCAGCGCTTTTATCATGTTTAAAACATGCTCGCGCTCTTTCTATCCGTGCGTCCGTAGCTCCTGATTAATCTCAGAGCAAAAAGAGCGCTAAAAGCCCAGGGCTCGTCCAATCGGCCGTGATTACGTGTCGTTGCATGAGGACGACTCGCTCGCTATTAATGAACGTGAGTTTAGGATTCACATCAGGCCCGACGGAGCCTCACCTTTGACTCTTGGGGGCTTTCGGTCCGGCTTATCAGGGACGGCCGGCACTGCCAGCGCCATATTTTATCTTTAAAATGCATATTTCATGGGCATATTCTCTTCCTCGGCTCTCGGCTGGTGAGATAAATAACCCCAGAATAACTCAAGACATCATCTGCTTATGTGCAACTCTGAAATCTCATTTACACTGCATGCAATGCAATTGGTCATGTGATATGCAAGAACCAATGAGGTTGGATGCACCAGATATAATATGAACATATGCATGCATGAATGGGATTTGAGACTGAAATGCAAAGTAATAGGAAGTGAAAGCGAGTTGTTTTGGGAAGGAGCGGACAGGTTCGTACCTCTGGCCAGTGATGATGGGGAAGGTTTTTTGGGCAGCTCGCTGAAGCTGTTTCCATCCAGAGCGGACGGCTTACAGTCCTTCTTCTCTGCGGCGGTGGGAACGCTGGCCTCCATTCTGATGTATTCTCTGAGAGAGAGACAGAGAGGTCATCTGAAATATCCTTGCAGATGTATTAATAAAGAAGAAAACATTACGTACAATTAAATGAACTAAAACATAAAATGAAATATAAAAAATTAAATATATCGAATAAAATGAAATAAATCTGAAAATATAAATGAAACTAAATTAAATATAAAAATAAATAAATAAATATAAATTAAAATAAATAAAAACAAAACAATACATAAAATTAAATAGATAAAATTAAATATACAAAAGAAACTATAAAAACTAAATAAAATTTAAATAAAATGAAAAAATATAAATAATTTTGAAAATGATATATATATAAATAAATAAGGGAAATATAAAAAACTATATAAAATATAAAATGAAAAAATAATAAAATATAATAAATACATGCAACTATATAAAAAATATTATATAAAAATGAAAATATTTTAACAATCAAATATAAAACAATATGAATTATATAATATAACAATCATTTGTAACATAAACATAAAATATTGAAAATAATAATAGCTAGGTGGTTGCCAGGGCGTTGCTATGCTTTAGTTAGGGTGTTCTGATTGGACAACCTGAAATCTGATATTCTGATCTCTTTCTAACACTGCAAGATGACACACTGAATTTTAATACTAACTGTTGATTTAAACTAACCTCCAACACTAACTGCGATCAATCCTAACAGTGCTTGACCACAAATAAACCTGCGTGCACTCGTCCTAAAGTTGATGAAATCCTGCTTATGAAAGCAGTGCTGCATCACGGCACGTTATTGAGCGAGCAGAAGCAGATTCGTTTAGTCACTCGACCGTCTCATTTCTCGCGGTTTTTAAGGCAAGGTAAGCCGATTAGCGGAGGAGCACACGAGTGAGCCTGCATGGCATCTGTTTCTGCTTTCCTTCGCCAGCAGCGATGCTCCATGCGGCCGCGGGCACAAGTCAACATCAAGTCAAAAATCACTTCTTCAACTCAGATTCCTGCTCTTATCATGAACAGTTCAGCAGTGCATTGCGTTGACTTAAAAACATCTTGGCAGTCATTTCCCGCTGACGTCATCATTCCCTCATTGTTTTTAAGGCTACAAATTTTGCAGGCCCAAATCAGGGTGTAACGCTGGCGTCAGGATGATGAAGACGCTCCATAAATCCCATAAGCCTTTTATCTGACCCTGCATTCACCTCTACATTCACCCTGCACTGAAATCACAGCGTCAGTCTTTACAAGCGGAGGATCTGGCTCGGAATATTCCTCAAGCTGTGGCCAAAATCTTACATCATTGTAACGGTACATACTAGCGGTCAAAAGTCTGAAATAATTGACTTTTTTATGTTTTTTGAAAGAATAATTAAGCAGAAATTTCAGCATATTAGAATGATTTCTGAAGGATCACGTGACACTGAAGACTGGAGGAATGATGCTGAAAATTCAGATTTGATCACAGAAATAAATGACAGTTTAACAGATATTTTGAATTGTAATAACACTTTACAATATTTCTGGCTTTTATTGTATTTCTTGATAAAAATAATGCAGCCTTGGTGAGCCTAAAGGTGTTCTTTCAAAACCATTAAAAAAAATCTAAATGATTCCAAACTTGACAGTAATGCATATATCATGTTATAGCTATTTTTGCTGTAAATTGAACAAATAAAGGTTAATTTTGATTTCATATTTATTAATGATTCAATTATTAAATTAACTTTGGTTTATTTATTTACCCTAAGCTTGATAAGCTGTCAATTAAATGTTTTAAATACAAAATTTTTTTTTTAATAAAACCTTTAAATCAAAAAAGATTGAATGATTATATAAAATAATTATAATTATATTCCCTATTTTAAATAGAAAATAAATTATTCAATTACTGTATATTTTATAATTAAATTAATTAAAGTAAATAAGTATTTATTCTTATGTTATATTTATAAATAATTCAATTATTCAGTTAACTTTGGCTTATTTATTAAACCTTATTTGTTTGTAATGTTTCATTTGATAAATTCTCCTTTATTGAAAAATGATTGAATGATTATATTATGTAACTGTATTAATTATAACTACCACCAACTATATGTACTATTTAAATGATTAAATTGTTATTAATTGAATGTTAAATTAAACGAATTAAATTCAATAAATGTGACTAATTATTCATATTTTATATTTACAAATAATTAAATTACTCGGTTTACTAATTAAACCTATTTTTTAGGGTTATTTAAAAAAAATAAAAAAAAATAAAAAACCGCCATTTAAATACTTAAGAAAGATTTGAATTTAATTAGATTTTTTTTGGGGGGGGGGGGAACTTGATGCAATGCAAAATGTAATTAAAAAAAATGTAAATATCTGATGTTTTTTAATGTGAAGCAAAACAGCTCAATTCAAAATTAATCACTCAAACAAGTCAACATAACATTATAATAGAATCAGAATCATGAATTCAGTAAAATAGCTGACTTTATTTCACAGCGCCAAATAAACACTCTTTAAAAACGTTGACTTATTTGTGCTGCACTGTGTATTTTCACACTATCCAATGCCCTTGTCACATTTATATGTAAATAACGTAAATATTTATCATAAGTCATATTTATTATAAGTCACATGGTATAACCCATCGAATCGCTCGGCTCCAGTGCACACTCAACAGACAGCATCAGATGTGATCTATCTAGTGTACAGTACTGTACGTCTGTGTCCTGGCGGTTTGACAGAATCAGTGGAAGACGAACACCTCTGTGAGCCTGACGAGCGTCAGAGATCTCAGGACGGGACGCCCTGCGTGTGATGGGATAACACGCGTGTCAAAGACCAAACACACAGATGGCCATGAAAGCTAGCGCCAACAGTCACGCGACTCAGATTATTTACCGTCCTCCGTCAAACACTGCATTCACAACGAAAGCAGACAGACGGTTTTACTTGACCTTTTGACTTCCAAAAATCAACATCATGGTATAACAGCATTGAGAATTAGAATACATAATCACAGAATAATTACTATATTATTTAACAATATTTCATTATTATTATATACAATTGGTGCATTCCAAATCGTGTACTTATGCACTATTCTATGACGTTTTGGAGTATAAATAGTGCGAGTAGTGCGTTCACACTGAAAATTCCAAAAAGATAAAGTGCACTTTAAATACCCGGATGATGCACTTAAAGGGATAGTTCACCCAAAAAGGAAAATTCTGTCATCATTTACTCACCCTCATGTCGTTCCAAACCTGTATGAGCTGCTTTCTTATGTTGAACACAAAAGAAGATATTTTGAAGATTGCTGGTAATCAAACAGTTGGTGGTTGCCGTTGACTTCCATAGTAGGAAAAAAAAATACTTCAAAATATCTTCTTTTGTGTTCAACATAAGAAAGCAACTCATACAGGTTTGGAACGACATGAGGGTGAGTAAATGATGACAGTGTATAATTCCTACACTACATGGTGCATAAGTACATAGTATATAAGTGCATAGTGTATAGTGCGTCATATGGGACGCAGCTAATTGTATTGAGAATAAGATAACTCCGTTTTTTAACAATTTTCAAAAATCACGTTTTTTCATTGTGCATTCCAATTAATCTCAATCAAACTGCAGTTGGGTTATTTTGATTAGGTTCAAGAATAACGAAAAAATACAGCTAACTAACACAATAAAAACATGATGACATAATAAAAAACATGATTTTTGAAAATGTAAAAAAACAGAGTTATCTGTTTTTGCAAATAAACTCTTCAAATAATAACAGAATAATAGCTATTTTAATTCAATTATTAAATTTAATACATTAAACATAATTATCATTAATATTACATATCAAAGATTTTTTATATTTTAATGTCATTTTTAATATATACTATGAACAATTTTGTAAATAAATACAAAATAAAAAGTGAAAAATAAAATAAAACCGGGCAGAAAGTCACATGGCTGATAAAAGCAATACTAAAAATAATAACTACAAGTTATATTTCTTTTTTTAATGTTTACTTCAATTGCTTAATGTATTTAATACATTAAACATAATTATGGTTGATAAAAGCGATACTAAAATATTATTTCAAGGTACTATGAGAGAGAAATATGATACAAAACACTTAAATATTCATATGTAGCTCACATTAAGCTATCGTATGGCTTCATAAGTAACACAGAATAATTCGCACAATCGGAGAAAAAATCAAAAAAAAAATCTCGGATTTGGATCGGCACTCTCTGACCATCACATATCACTGTAATTTATATGAAATAACAAAATGGACTACATTGCGCTTAAGGAGAAAAAAACATATGCTAATTTTTATTTTAAAAATTTTAGTGGGTAAATTACCACAGTATATATCTACTTTGTTGACATATTGCACAAATATTTATAATACCAGATCAACAGATAAACTCTTATTTACGATGCCGATTTTTCATACAGAGAAAGGTCGTTCTGCTATAATTCTGGTAACCAAAAATTTCATTTTTTTTTTTTTTTTTTTACAGTCTGTCAAAATGAAAAAAAGTTAATAAAGCTTTTAATGAGTTCAACAAAGACATGATTTTTAACTAAAACGAAAATGAAAACCATTAAATTACTTGAAATAAAACAGATGTTAACTGAAATAAAATAAATAATAAACTTTGGTAACACTTTACAATATTAGTTTTATTATTATTTACAATATTCGCTTACAATATTAACATTAGATAATGCATTAACCAACACTAACTATCTAACAATGAACAACACATTTGTTACATTATTTATTCATCTTTGTTAAAGTTAGTTAACAAAAATACAACAGCTCATGTTAGCTCAGGTCCATTAAGTAATATTAACAAATACATATATTATTCATTACATATATACATTCAATGTTGAAATTAACATGAAGCAATATTAATAAATGGCTCTAGAAGTGGTTTTCATTGTTAGTTAAATGTTAACTAATGTACGTAACTAATGTTAACAGATGGCATCTTTTTGTAACGTG